TTGCTTTATTTCACTCGTGTCTCTGCCCCCGATACGCTGCAACAGTTTCTTTGTGAGCCCTCCGCTCCCCACGCTCTCCTGTGCTCGGGCTCAGAGCTGAAGCCCTGTCCCGGTGAGGCCATTCTCAGCCCCACGCCTCCCGAGGCCGGCTGGATGGCGTGCCTGGCTCTGGCGCCTATGGTAACCACAAACATTGGCCGAGTTGGGATTATGCTATGCCACAGCAAAGTTTCTTCCACCCTGACCTAGCCCCTCAAGCCGGGAGAGGGCAGGTATGCTGACTAAACACAGCAAAACCCTTTCCTCCAGTACAGGAGTAGACAGTAGACACATTCAGAGCAGAAAAGTTAATGAAATATCAGGGAAAAGAGCCATTTTCTGGAATATTCATGCACAGCGTCAGGGTTTTTTTTAAAAAAAGTACTTGATTTCCTTTTAACATTGTACTTAGGATGATCTTTTTCTATTTGAACTGTTAATATCTTTCTTTCCATATCTTTTCCGTAAGCAAAAGTGAGTTGCTGCACGCATCTACTGCTTGCATGGGCCAGGGCAGAACGCACCATGTAATTTTTTAAGGACTACTGAAAAAAGAAAGCTTAAAATTTGTACTGCACACAAATTAGCTTCTCCTAACACGTTTACCTGGGAGTACATCTTACTTCTGCTCTGTAAACAACCTTCATAGAATAGGAAAGAAGATTTGAGAAGATCAATTCAACATACCAGGAAGCTATTAGCCATCAGTTTCTGTAGTACATGGAAATCAGCGTTACTGGTAGTACACGCAGGAAGGAAACCCCAGTGACTCTGGCTGAGATAAGTTCCACAGGAGATGTCTGCCATTCATTAAAGTTACAAATGCATAGAAATTATGTAGTTAGTTCCTCACAGTGGTATGATTTGAGACACCTACGCTACAGTGCCAGTGATGAATGAAACAATAATCAGAGCTATAATTTTGAATTTTTTCTCTACTCCTTTTTCCTGCTCCAAGCCAGAACAGCCCCAAGACCAAATACAAATGAAGAATCTGCCTTTTTCTTGAGTGGGAAGCGTGAGCATCACAAAACAACCTCTCATCTCGCTATTTAACATTCATGACTACAAAGGCTAAAAAAAAGTCTAAATAAAGCGTGTACGTGCTGCGCTGCTGGCTGACATCAGTTTGCGTTAGCTGTCATTACTAAACATTTTTCTGGAGAACTACTGCAGCCTTTCCCAGATTTTTAAGGTCTGCCTTTTCACTTCATATAAAAATAGGATGCTTGTCCCTAAGTAGGAGGAAGTAACTATAAATACTATAAAAGTTTAAATTTATTTCAGAATAAAATTCTATGAAACAGGTTTCAGAAGAGGTCATGTTTAAAAAACAGTTTCCAAGTTCTCGCTTATTTCTGGCTGTTTTATTTCACTTAATGGCAAATCAAATCACTTTTCGTGTTAATCAAGTGTCTAATGTTTTAGATTAAATAAAGTAATTCGAAGTAATCAAGTAATTTGATTAACTCCTCCTTTTAGTAAGCTGCATGGACCACAGCAGCTTTCAAGTCGAAGTTATTCACCAAGTAAAAAAAGTTCCAACATGTAAATTTCTTCCTCAAAGTGAATTTTAAATTGACTGTCACAGATAACTTGTCTATGAAAGCCCAAACAACCAAAAGAGTTTAATATTCCTTTGCGCTAACAAGGTAAGTCACCAGACTCCTAAATCAGAAAAAGACTACATATACCAGATACGACTGCTAATTGTTGGTATCAAAAGCAGCAAAGAGAATATTGTTCTACTCAACAATTGTGTGTGCTCCCAGGGATAAGTCACGCAACAGTTTATGTCATATTCTTTTCATAGAGAGTTCTATAAATGTTTGATACAATAATATTTTCTGCCAAGGCAGGCTTCTTCCCTTAAGGAAAGACCATATTTATTTTTTAAGTGTGGGCTGTTAAGTGTGAAATGTAAGTTTTAGAAAATAAACGATGACAGAAAACTCTTTCTCCTTCTTTCCTTAACTGAATCATGCAGCCATGACTGAAAGGAAAGGGCATTGTACTGGTTTTTAAATTCTTACCGTTTCTCAGTAAAATGCTTGTAATAACATGGGAAAGCTTACAGCAAGATACTTAAAAGAGCTTGAACAATCCTGAGTGCTTAATAGCACACCAGCTGCACTCAGCTAAAATTAATATAAGCGCTGAGCACGCATCATCGCTTCACTCCTACATGCACCATTTCCATAAGATGATGTGTAGGGCCGGCCCAGACTGCAGGAGCTGAAGAGGGATTTCCTGGCAGTCACTAGCGCTGCATGCCTGTGGCCAAACCATGCTCCACACGAAGGTGGCAAAGCTCTGGCAGGGCCGCACAAGTTTGGAAATACAGTGTTATTTTCCCATGGAGCTTGAGCTAATAAGCACATATTGTACAGATAAGGCAACGTCTGCATGGGCATTGCAGAGCCAAAAGCACCGTGTGGCTCTGCGGGGCTCATCAGCCCCTGGTCAGGACCTTGCTGGACTATACAAGTCAGCCAAGTGTTCGTACCTCACTCCTTGTATCCAAGTTATACGGGTTCTGTCAATGCCAAAGATACTGCAGCATCTTGTAGATCCCTTTCCTTCCTGTGCTCCTCAAGATGGTCACCAATGCCAGTGCCAAAACAGGGTCTTACAAGCACTGGAAGGCTGTTACACCGTACATGTTAGGCGAGATAGTATTTCTGTAGTGCAGTCTTTCAAAATTTCCATCTAGGAAGGGACCGTGCAGTGAGCAGATACAGTTTGGCATGATAACTGGTGCATTGCTCTTCCTTTGTCATCTCAAACTTTTGAGATCCTTTCCTAAAACAATGTTCACTAAAAAGTACTGTCTTATATATTAATAAAACGGAAATTAAGACTGAAAGTAAAACAAAATAGAAGGAAACTTTACCCTGCAGGACAACTGATTTGAAGACTACGTAAAAAACGCTGAGCAAAACTATCATATTGCCAAAATACTAAGAATTCTTATTTATAAGTTTTTACTTAAGACTCAAGATGTATTTTTCCAGTGTGACCATGAAAAATCCCACCTCAAATTTACTATTCTAACCTTGATTTCCTTTGTCATGAATTCACTTAATCAGTCCTCATACTCAATTAAAGCTCCAGTTCTGAAGTGATTTTGCAATAAATAACTGCACAGAAACAGAGCCCCTCCATTTATTACCTAAAACCAAAATCTTCTGATCATTGAAGAGCATATATGCTGTCAATATTTCCCTAAAGCAGACAACTGATGTAGCTTGTTTAACAGCTTTGAACTGCATTTCCTCTTCCTCTCTTCCCTCACCCCCCTCCCTACCCTAAAAGCACCTTATCTGTATTAACTATGGCTTACTTTAAATGTAATCCTCCAAGTCACCTTTAGCATAAAATATGCAATATCCCAATTAAATTGTGACAACTTTTATTTGTTTTTTCTGATATTAGCAGGAAGACAATGCAGCTGCTTTGGTTACTAAAGCCTTTGATTTTTATTTAAAAGCAAGTTTCAGGGCTTTACTAATGAGCATGGCAACATAAAGCAAGTCTTAACGATACTGCATTTTATTGGGATGAAAAAGTGCTCAAAAATAGAAACTTGTTAGTGTTGTTCTTCCCCCTCACTTTTCCAACCAGCTCACTTGTAGAAAACAGACTCTTCTTGTTAGTGGACTCTCCAGGTGACATGTTTTAGACAAACACTCTGACTTCTTCTTTAGAGTGCAAAAGATGTTCTTAAGTAATAAGACAGACTCGCAGGCCTCTTTCTTTCCTATAAAGAAGGAAAACCCTGCCAGATTGCTTCTGGCATAACCCCATTCGTTTTTCCTGCAATGACAATTGATAGAGAATGAAAGCACCCTCCGGAACACGGAGGGTTCAGTTTCCTTTGGCAGAGGTCTTGACTGGAAGCAAACCTGAATTATTTCACTTCAAAGCAACAAATAAGGAATATTTTTCTGGAATGTCAAAAACATGCACATTAACCAAAACCAACCTTCACAAGAATCCTAAAGCATAAGATTGCTTAGCCAAAAAAAACCCCCACAACCCGCAAAACGACCAGGTTGTTACTAATTCAAGTGTAGAAATTGGTTAACAGTACCTTAAGATCCAGTGGGTAGGGTGGGAGGGATGGCACAGGGGAAGGGTAACACATAGCATTCAGTAATGCCACCTGACAAACTTAAAATAGATATTCCTAAAGGGAAAAAAAAAGTATATGACCATCATAGCTATCTTAACATCTGTAGTCTGTTTCTGTTCTTGTTACGCAAAACTTCAATACAACAATCATTACTTTTCTATCATTTATTTCAGTTAGGTGAGATACTTCACATTGCTGTATTCACCTGCGTGTGCCCTCCGCAGTCCTATCATTTGAACTAGCATTAATTACTAGTGTGGCTTTTCTGAGGCAAAAAATCCATGTTGGTTTTCCACATACACAAATAGCAAACACTAGTTTAACTAAAGCTTTTTGACAATTTATTAACATTATTAGGCTTGAGAAACAAAATTAAGTTTTATTCAAAATGTAAAGATTAAGATAATTTTAAAATGTTAGTGCTCACCAACAGTAAGAAGAAACAGTCCTTTTTCTGCCTTTTTTCTTCCATATATTCCTTTATAAATAATGCACTGGAAAAAAATGCCTTTGTCTTTTGAGTCACCTGCAAAAGTTCTTATAATATTCTTGGATCGTTAGAATTAAAAGATGGAGATAGCCTCATATTTCAAGTTTTTACCCATTAACATACCACATACTCCACTCAAAATGTTATCTGTGAATGATACAAATGATAATCCTACTCTGAACTAGTTCATCATTATGAGGATGAAGTATCACAGACAGTAATTCCCAAAACTTTTAAGGGGGTGGAAGGGGAAAAACCCACCACATGGAAGTCTTGCACAAAACGCATGCGTGTATATAAATACCCAAAGTTGCTTTAGGAACAAGCAGCGAGATATAGCAAGGACAAATGCAAAGTTTATTCCACGTATGCTACAATTAATCAACATGTTAGGGAAGTATCAAAATTTGTACTATTAACATATGGCAACAGTTTTATTGTTACAATACATTGCAATAGATTAGCCCCACTGGAAAAGGCTTTTAAGCTGCAGACAGTGCAATTGCATTAAATCTTAATTCTTCTGGGTCACGTTCCATGAATTTCTTGCAAACTTCTATTGCATCCTAGGGAAAAAAGTAAAAAAAAAAAACCAAAAAAAAACCCACAAAAAACCAAACCACTATAAATCGTACTTATTAAAAAAACCCCACAACTTTAATATGAAGATATGCTTTATACAAACTATGCTCAAAATGGATTTTGCCATAAAGGATTACTAAACAGTGTGACAAGTCTACATAAACTGTATTTCTGATCTGAGTTACCGCTATTCAAGATTATTTACAGTGCTCACATGGGCAGCATAACAGAGCAAAAGTTTTATGCAAAACCATAGCAACAATGATTTTTGTGCCTGAATATTACTTTGTGCAACAGATGTGTTGCTTGTCTGACTTCCTAAATGCATCTCTGAAGTTTGCCTTTACTAGTACTGCTGTATTCAGAAATTTTTCCTTTGTCTCAAGATGACTTTAAGCTGTGTGGGGTAAGTGAAAGATTGTAAGTAATTCCTTCATCTAGCTTTAGGGTGCAATCTGGAGAACACATGTTATCAGTAAAACAGAAAAAAGCCACATGGGAAAAAAGGAAAACTTTATCTAACTTCTCCCCCTGCCCAAACAAGCACAAATTGTATGCAAACTTTACAGACATTAGTCTATGCTACTAAACTATTAAAAGGTTTTGTTTGTTTGTTTTTTAGTTTCTCTGGTTTCTTCCTTTTGCAAAGCTAATCCAGTCTGGATACCAGATCTATGCATTGCCTTCTCTCAGCTTCAACTTCGCATCATTCTGTGGGGATGACAGTTTATCCTCCCAATTCAGTGTATTCCTTTCCAATTCATTTCTCAACTAAACAGCTCCTGACACAAAGAAGCACCCAAAAGAAGCCACAAAACTGGAGAAGAATTATTATTAGCAAGTGTCAGAAAGGAAATAAACTTCTGTCTAGCATGGCACCTATCAAACTATAACTAAACCAAAAGGAAAGAGAATGAAAAATTATCTTAAGTTTTCAATCTGATGAATTCATCTCACGTAAAATTTGAAAGGAACAGGGGTATACGAAAATCTCAGCACATAAAAGTCTGTTTGATCTTCTGTTATGGTCAACCTTTCTGACATTTCCTGTTACCATGTTATGATACTCTGTTATCCAGAGTCACAACATGAGCATTTTGAAATACCTGTTTTAAAACTGAGTAAACCTAATTTTGTCTCACCATCCCACTCGCTCTATTCCTCATCCAACCATAAATATAGCAAGACTTTTGTATAAATATTTTTATAAATATTTTTAATAAATTTTGTGGAAATAGAGCAAGAATTTTGTATAACACCATTTAAGAAGGTTTTCTATTCCTACCTCTAAAAAAGAATCGTCACTAGTTTCCCCATGGTTTATTGGAAACGGCTTGCGCCCATCTGTTGAAACACAAAGCAGGATTGAACAACACATTTATAAAATTAGAAAAGCTTCATTTTTCCAGTTAAAGCTATTTGAACACGTTTTTTGCTCTTCACTTACAAAAATGCTACCTCATTTTTCATAAAAGAATCACACATGCACATAGCTATTCCCTGGTCTCTCCACTGCTGACTGCTTCAACAGGTATCATTATGTTACATAAAAAAAAAAATCCAGTCAAAACAATGAAATACTTTTTAATATTTTATTTGAAAACTTTAAGGCTGTAAGTTGCAATTGTTTTAGTGGTGGTATAGTACTACAGTACTTCAGTTTTTCAAGTAGAGAAGAACAATTTCTACTACACTTAATGGATTTACCCAGACAGACAGCTGTATGTCTGTGGCCTTTGACAGCTGTGATCAGGGACACCACGACAGAACAGAATACCAGCCCCACCAGTTTGAAGAGTCTGGCATAACTGAAATGTTACTCTCACTTAAAATAAAAAAGCAAACAAACCCAATAAGTTTAAGTACTTTCACAGCATTTAAAAATGGTTGCTATAGTTAATTATTTTTTCTCCCATTTCCAATATAATAATGCTATCATTCTCACCATTTTAAAAATAATTTCATTCATAGAAGTATGTTTCAGGTTACTTGTGAAGACCTAACAGTATGAGAACATATGTCAGGGTATCCTAAGTATTTGCTAGACCAGATTCCCTTTTGGCTATGTCCTCCCTTTGAAAGACTTTTCCCTCCCCAAAGATTCCATCAACGTTGACAATACTTCCAAACTCCATTTTCCATAACCAAAAATAGATTTGATGTTAGAAAACTTACAGATTTACATGAGCAAGAGGTTGTTCATTATTGTAACAACCATGATTGAAGATACAATGCAAAACCCTCAGAATGTGCCAGGGAAACAGAACTGAATGCCCTGTACTGTTGCAAGCTAAGTTTGATTCAATTTTTTTTTTTTTTTTACATACATCTTGGCAGAACAGCATTTTAATTTCATGTGCCTATAAATAATGTGTTTTCTATGGCAAAAACATCATAACCATTTAACATCCATGTGCTTCCTTAGCATTTTCTGCCTGCCAAAGCCCACATGCTGGCCACAGTGACTGAAGCCAGTGAATCAATTGAAAAACCTTCTCCCATTTTCCTACTTTTAAGTATTTTTTGCTTTCTTCCACTGGTACAGAGAGAAGTTATTTTAAGAACAAAGGAAATAGTAGTATTGGCATTGCACTATATAGTGGAGCTAAACACCTCTTTTTTTTTTCTTTCTTTTTTTTTTTTTAAATTTAAGCAAAAAATTCAGGTGGGTTTTATCTTGCATATTATTTATGGAAAATAGCTAAACATGGTAATCATAGTCTGTAGTGTGCTTTTTAAGCAGAGCAAATTAATGCACAATGAAAAGGTAACATGGAAATAGTAGCACACAACCAAAAGAAGAGCAAGCCATCCATCACACCTTGAAATTTAGAGTCATAAAATATTTATATTGCATCCTACAGTAGTTGCCTCACTATTTGATCTAGTTCACTGACAGACATACAGCATCATAAAAATAGAGAAATGTGTGCCTATTGTTCATGACTTACCACTGATAATACCCCTTAGATCACCTTAATATTAACATAAGCACTTCTTATATACTGCTTATGTCCCAGGTTATGATTAGTTATCACCCGTTAAGGGCATTGCTTAATTACCTGTTGATTTTCAAAAGATGAAAATGTTCTCACCATAAAATACTGCAAAAATTATGTTAGGAAAGACCAGTGACTTGCAGTTTTTAAATCCTGATCTACTTGCTAGTTTTCTGAAGCGCCTGCAGCAAAACCTAGTTGCCCAGCAACATGTTTAAGATTGGAGTCATAGAATCATAGAACAGAATCATAGAATTGTTTAGGTTGGAAAAGACCTTTAAGATCATCAAGTCCAACCGTTAACCTAACACTGCC